TTCAAAGAAAACATATTGATGTGTAATTATCTTATGTCTCAAATATCATGCTCACACATATTCTGGCGATGGACTTCCATATTTGAGCAAATGTTAATATAAACGTTTGCTATAGTGCCTATAGAAAATAACTTGATAACCTATATTGGTTTTGATAAAAGTGGTTGGCTAAATGATTTTTTTTCTTGGCAGTATTTTTGACAGGTAGTGATCGGATTCCTATTCTTGGTATGAAGAGTCTAAAACTAGTCATCCAGTCAACAGGAGGTGGTGAGGAATATCTCCCAGTTTCCCATACCTGCTTTAATCTTCTAGATCTTCCAAAATATACAGAAAAAGAAACTCTACGCTCTAAACTGATCCAAGCTATTGATCACAATGAAGGTTTCAGTTTAATATAACTTGGAGTTATAACTATTCTGTTTACTGCAAAAGCATTAAACTAACTGTGTTTTTCTTACGATGAATTCAGCAAGGTGACAGAAGGCGTTACTATAATCTTGCAAAATGTTCAATGCTATTAGTATTTATGAAAGCCAAAAAATATTAAAGGAGAAGTACAAACTGTTAATACTGAACTTAATGTACAGAACTATGGATTTTTTTGCCATCTTCCAATAAACATACAAGTATTGTGAATACATTGTAGTTTTACTAACATGAATTTTAAGAATTTGTTTGCATATTTCACAAATGATCTGATGTGTGAGTGCATGGAAATGTTGCTTGAATTTTCTTGAATCACTGGGTAAAAAACCTTTAACTTTGGCCTGCAATAGTCATTTGATTATTTTTTCATTTTGTAAATAATGTTAAGTTTTGTAATAAAATAGTTATGTTCTGATACCAGTATAGTTTCTATGGTTATAATTGAACTGAGATGACTTTTAAAGGTTAAAAATTAAAATTTAAATCTTATTCTGAGAACTTAAAAAGCAAAAATTAGCATGGTGAAAACACGTTTTTTTGTGGTTTTTCTTTTTTTCTTTTTTTTTTTTGCTAGAATACCTGTCCTTGTGCAAACTTAAATTATGGGTAGGAATTATCTAAATAACTTATAGTTCTTTCCTTTCGTGAATCTTGAGATGCCACTGATAAATGGGATTATCAGAAAGCTTAATGTTTAGTAATGGGAGAACTTTGTACTACAGGTGCCAGAAATAGAAACATTGGCTACTATGAGAACCAATCACTGAGTTATAGTTCCCAAAACTATAGATGCTGCAGGCTGGATTTTTCAGTGCTTTAGAACTATTTCCTTGAATTTTTAAGAGACAAATCTTAGTTTTATGGTGCTGTTGCTTAGTTATCTCCTGTCATTAAATTGTAACAGTTGATGCAACACTTGTGACTTTCTGCTATAATGCAAATATTTATTTTTTAAATTTATAAAAATATGCCATGAAAACTGTTCAAATAATAAAGATTTATTGGTTTAATATTTAAATTTTCAGTGGTTCTCATATAAGATTCAAAATTCTTCAAGAAAAGTAATGTCTCAGGGAAGGTCTCTTAAATTTTGGATTGTTTCCATTTCCATCAAATTTGTCTTATCTTACAAAGGCCCCAAGTCTTATAGCTGTAACTCAAAAATCTAAAACAACTCTGAAAAAACTTGCTTACCTCATTTTGCAGCAAAACCCGATCTGAATTGTTGAGGCTATTTATGACAGGTATCAAATGGGACTTTTTGTACATTTTATTGTGGCAATATTAATATGTTTATTGTTTTATTTACATGCTGCCTCTAATCCATAATTCCAAAATGCAAATGAGCCCAGGATTTTTGGAGAAGAGATTGTGGACTTGTACTTTTCAGTAGTTTAATATAAAAACTTCTCGTGGTTATAGGTGTCTTTTTATGAAGATAGAAGCCTTAAAAACAATATTTTCACCTAAGATAATGTTCCTCAAAATTGCATTCTTCCCTCTGAAAATCATTCCATGTACCTGATATCATACAGTTTCCCTGTGCATCTATTACTTGAGGGTAGTGATTATTCATATCAAAAACATATATGCTGTGAAGCTGATCTGTGAAATAGCCACTTAGGAGCAATAGATAGAATTCATTGAACAAATACACACACACACACTCTTGCACTGGGGGAGGGAGGGTCCCTCAGCCTGGCCTGCACCCTCTCAGAGTCCAGGACCCCTTGCTCCTTAGTGCTGCCATGGAGGCAGGAGAGGCTCCCACCGCCACCATTATGCTTGCCAGCCGTGAGTCCGGCTTCCGGCTTAGTGGCGCTCCTCCTGTGGGAGCGCATTGACCACCAGGGGCAGCTCCTGCCCCCGGGTGGTGAGTGCACATCATTGCAACCAGTCATTCTGGTCGTTCCACTGTAACAGTTGCTTAGGCTTTTATGTACACTAGAGGCCCAGTGAACGAAATTCGTGCATTCGAGGGTGTCCCTCAGCCCAGCCTGCGCCCTCTCTCAGTCCGGGACCCCTCCTTACTGCCCATAGCGGAGGCGGGAGAGGCTCCACCACGGCCTCTGCACTCACCAGCTGTGAACCTGGCGCTCCCCCTGTGGAAGCGCACTGACCACCAGGGGCAGCTCCTGCATTGAGCGTCTGCCCCCTGGTAGTCAGTGCATGTCATACTGACAGATTGTTCTGCTGTTCAGTCGATTTCCATATTAGGGTTTTATTATATAGGATTTTAAAATATATTTTTATTGATCTCAGAGAGAGGGAGGAAGAGAGATGGAAACATCAGTGATGAGAATCACTAGCCAGCGGCCTCCTGCATGCCCCACACTGGGGATCGAGCCTGCAACCTGGGTATGTGCCCTTGACTGGAATCAAACCCGAGACCCTTCAGTCCACTAGCTAGCGCTCTCTTCATTGAGCCAAACCAGCTAGGGCTTAAACAAATATTTTAACAAGGACACCTGGCATCTTATCTGGGAACACAATTCTACAAGCTTAATTTGGGTAAGTCTGATATTCTTTTCCTATTTCTGCAGACATACAGTAACATTAACATGGATATTCATGGTAGAAAGTTAAAATACCACTGACAGTTTGTCAAATTTCCATTTTAAAACTAAAACAAAAAATACTTTGAGTTTTGTAGACCAGTAGGAAGAAGGCAGAGACCGAGTTCACTAAATTTTAAGGACCATGATTATAGAGTTGACTAAACTTTGAAATTTTTGTAGCTCCTAACTTTAGTAATTTTAACCAATACCCATTGTTCAGACTGATTGGCAGTAGAACCAAGATAAACCTTTAAATTGGCATGAAATAAAACCAGAATGGAGATTGTTAAACTGAGATCTAAAGCAAAAATCCCAGCCTTCTCAAAGGTTTCCTCATAAAGACCATTCATTGGGGTTCGTTTCTACTAATAGATTTTTTCACCTTTCTGAATAATTTCCCTGCATTTAGTTTAACAAAAGATCCTAAATCAAAGTATATGTGCAGGGCAGTCTTCCCCTGACGTGGCAAGGGGGACACATTCTTGTTCTCAGCCTCTTCCCATTCGGCAACCCCTTTCACACTTTGGCCATCCATACTCATGCTAGTTTTCTCCTTTGGCTAAAGAAGTCACTCTTATTTCCTTGGCTCCCCACCTTTGTTATTGCCAACTGAACTATTTCTAGAGATAAATTGGGAAGAGTCTGCCTGTTTTGTGTAAGCTGGCTTTCCCGATTAGACCATCCCCTGGTGAGTATTCCTTCCCTTTCTCAACTCTTGCTATACTTTTCAATCACTTGGGGGTACTTTTTCATACTGTGCACAAGCCCCACCTATGCCAATTAAATCTTACCTCTAAGAGATGATGCTGAGTAATTTCCAGGTGAGAGCCACTCAAAATAGGGGAAATAGATCCTTTCTCCATATTTCTGCTAACATCTAGCTTGAGTTTAACGCTCAGACTTTGTTCATCATGTCTGAAGGGAGAGGTCAGTGTGCTTATCACACCCACCTTTTAGATTACAGGTGTAGGAGTTGAGGTTTCAAATAACCATATACTTAATAAGTAGATGATGTAAAGCACCACTGATTGAAGGCACATACACCATCCTATATCATGAAGAGCTAATATGCTAATTAGACCAAGCAGACAGGATGACCTTTCCTGATGAAGCTGGGACTGTGAGGGCTGGCTGAGGCTGCGAGGGGCTGCAAGAGGCAGCCGGGGCTGTAAGAGCTGAGCCCCTTGCACTAATTTCATGCATCGGGCTTTTAGTCCTATATAATAAAAGCCTAATATGCTAAGTGTCCAGTCCATTCAATAACCAAAGTGTAATATGCTAATGATATGCTAAGGCCACTCCACCACTCACCATGACATGCACAGGGCCAGTTTCAGCCTGATTTTATAACATCTAAAGATGGGATTTAGCAGGTAATTTTTCTCATACAATAGGATATATCAGGGCAGAGTATTTGGTATTTTTTAAAAAATTCACTTCAAAAGTTTGCTGGGGAGAAAAGCAGACCTGAGAGCAAGAAACGGCAGTCAAGGTTTTATTTATATATTTTTAAGGGGTGTGTGTATTCCTGGCCTCCTAAATAGTAATACTTTGTCCCTCAAGGACTTGAATGAGCTAAGTAGGTTTTCAGGCCAGCCTTAAAAAATTCATACCCAGTGTGGTTTGATCTACCAAGAAACTAACTTACACAGAAAACCTAGCTTTTCTAACGGGCTCTTGAATTCACTACAATTGCACCATTCCCTATTGCACCTCCCACCCCCCAAGTCTTTGTATGTCAAGTTTTTTTAGGTCCTGCCTTTCCCCTACATCTTACCTACTAAGGCCCCTATCCTAGAATAGCTGAAATAATTGGTTTTGAAACTTGTGGTGATGCACTAATTGCTACAGTCAGTACTATCAGTGTTTGCTTAAATATTATTCTGGTTAGGTAGCTATAAATTGAATGAAGATATTTACTATGAAAAGAAAGCATCTAACATAGGCCTGAAAGCTGTTGAAACTGCAAGATTTTAAAGTTTTATAACTTAAACAATGTAAGTTAACGGGGGAAAAGGTCAAATGACAATTTTAATAGACTTTAAAACAGTGTACAAGTATAAAACACTGGTTTTGTATTTCAAAAGTTGGAAGATATCCAGTCATTAAACAGTCTACAAAACATATGCCAGTAGATTACATAAAAGACTATGTACAATATAAAAAGAGCTGAAAACAGTCTTCACTGTAAAAATAATTTAAAACAAAATTTTCAATTTAAAATATCATCTATAGCACAAATACATCATGCAAATGAAAAACTAAATATACTGCATTCTTTAGTGTAGCCAAATAAAATAGATTGAGACACCTTTTAGGTAGGGAAGTGGCCATTCAATAAAATTTTTTCTCTAGCAGTAATGGTCCTAGCTGGGTATTTTATGCTTAAAGAACAGCTGTATTTCAAACCCTTTTTTAAAATTGTAATAAATACCAAAGCAACACAGGAATACTTTGTAATTTGGGAGTAATGTTGGGAAAAGTCTGGAAAATTGTTTAGTGTGCAACTTTATAAAGTATGAACTTTTTGAAAGGCTAGAAGCTTCTGCAGCTGAGAAAGTTGAGCTCTAGTTTTAAGGCAGGCTAAGCTTTTAAACAAAGACACAATAGGAATTTCATTCACTAACTCTTCTGCTATTACAAGTTACATCATGTTCATAGTACTAGGCTAGCAGTTTGGTGTTTGTTACACCAAATACTCCCAACAGGAGACATGTATTTACTGGCCGAGTTATATATAATTAATATCTTATTACTTTGGAACCATAATCAGGGAACCTGTCACTCTCCTCATGTGTGGAAAAGCAGCAGTTCATATTACACTCTCCCCAAAGTTACCATTCCTACAGATCATAAAGACTTGCATATTCACATCTTGGCAGTTTAATACTTGTGGAAAAGAATCAATGTAAGCTCTACCACAGTGATAGGTATTGAAACAACAATGGGAAATACTCTCAACACTAAGGGGGCCCAGGCAGGCACTATTGTTTCTACAGCAATTGAAACATTTCCAAAGCATTTATTTGTTTTACAGATTAGTTTCATAAGCCAATATAGACATTTCTACATGTCCACAGAAGTACAAAAGCCATCTTCATTTGAACAATACAACATTCCTGAAACTTTGAGCACCAAGTCTTACTTTAAAAAGCAAAGAAAACTGAGTGCTCTCCCATATATTGTTGACTTCCTTCTACTCACATTGCATGTTATGAGATTTTTAAAAAGTTAGCTGCCACAAGTTTTGGAAAATGCCAGTGTTTAAAAATAGGTAATTGTGCTAATAAAGAAAAGTTTAGCAAAACAGAGATTTGAGGATTTCAAACTATTCAATGTTATAAAGAAATAGTAAATGAAAATGAAGATACCATTCTTTGGTCTAGGTAAGCTGTTCCCTTTACATTAACTTAACATTCCAATGGCTTTTTGAAAACTTTAAAATGCTGAAACTCACTAGGCAAAAATGTATAAACAAAAATTATATATACATATGGATGTATCATACAAATGAACCTTTAAAAGTCGACCAAGAGCAGGTTAAAGATACTTAGTACCTTTCTTTAAAAAAAAAATTAGTGTTAAGTGTACAAGTACAGAAATAAGGAAGTTAAAAATCTATGAAAAAAAAAATCTATTTTACCAGTCTATAAATATTAGATCTTTCTGGTTTCCTTTGTTCTATCGTGTTCACAAGTAAACATTCATTTTGACATGCTAAAGGTTCCTAATGCTGGTGGAACAATTCCTGTACCTGGAAAATTACTACATTATGATTTGTTTGATGGATAATTAATGTCTGTTGCTTCCTGTTTCATAGATATAGCTTCATTGACTGCCTCTTGATCACCTTCATCAGCTCCAAATTCAGTTCCTCCAGCTCTCTCATTAATATCAGGATCATCTTCTAAACCATTGTAAAATTCTTCAATCTCACTTTCATCCTCCAGGGGTTCTTCTAAACTTGGACTCTGGCAGGTTCCACTATCACTATTACTGCCACAAGAACTAGAGGGTAAGACATCATCTTCAGAGTCTGAATATACTTCAGCACCATGGAAAATATAACGACTTGGTGGTAAAAACAGGTATTGATTACCTGAAATAGAGAAATAAAAGAGAACTAAGTTACTTCAGTCTGATTGGGCTGTCTGGAATAAGTATATATGAGTCCTCACACAAATTGAAGTGTGAGAGAGAAATGATCTAGCAATAGATTTTAACCTTTCTACCTCAACTCCCTCCCAAATTTGTACTGACACTATGAGATTTGACCTATGGTAAGAAGAGTTCCCTCTCCCCCCTAAGTCATGGACCCCAGGTCAAAAGGACCTCCTCTAAGATGTTCTACTCTTAAGAGCATTAATTTGCATCTATGAATACTAATAAAGTTAAATGTCCTAACTTGGTCAAATTTAGTTTAGGTTTAGCTTCTTAAATTAGCATTTTTCACCAGATTTACTTGGATTTAAACATTGATTTCCAAAAATTAGAAAGTGACTTTACCTACATTTCCTATGGGCAAAAGGGGAGATGCTATTCCTTATCTTCTATCTATATAAAACCCTAATATGCAAATAGACCGAATGGCACAACCGAACTGATTGCCATGACATGTGCTGACCACCAGAGAGCCCACGCAGAACATGGCAGGCTTTGGCAGCAGGAGTGCAGAACATGGCAGGTGTTGGCCGCAGCGGGATGGTGGAGCAGGTAAGTGGGGGCGCCAGACGAAGGCGGGGCACTGGCTGCTGTCATCGGGGCGAGCCTCTGGTGGTTACTGAAAATTCTTTGCTCCTGCGCGCCGCGGTCCTGCCCAGTGCTCATGCCTACCGCCAGTGCCAGAGCCACTGCTGGCGCCGGCCCCGCTCATACCCGCTGCCAGCACTGTCCGAGTGTGGGAGTGGGGCTGGCCGATGGGACCAGGGGTCGCGGCGGGAGGAACCAAGCAGGGTGCAGAAGATGGGCCGAGACACACCCCTGTGCCCACCACAGCTTCAAGGCCCCCCGTTCCTTTCAAGATGCACGAATTCGTGCACTGTGCCCCTAGTAATTAGTGGGGAAGAATCAGATGCTTTCTAGATCTAACACAACACAGCATAGTGATTAAAGGGCAAGCTCTGGGGATATGCCTGGAATACGATCTTGGTTCTTCCAAATCCTAGTTGTTACCTTGCACGGGTTATTTAACCTCTACAGTTCTCAAGATTTCCCACCTGTAACAGAGATGTAATAATAGTTCCTACGTCATTAGATTGAAGTCAGATATTGTGTGTAAAGCAACTAACCCACAGTAAGCACTGAATCTCAGTCATTTCTACCAACGAAATCTCTCACCTGATATGGCAGAGCACTCAATATTAACCAATTTTCTTCTCAAGTTATTGCTTCTTATTCCCTAGAGTAACACAAGGTACTAAGCATACTTCAAACACACTTTCTTCCCCGTATTATGTAAAATACCAATGTTTATCTTTCTCTAGCTTGACTACTCAACTTTGCAATGTTACATTAGCTACCCTATCAACAAACCTGCTAAAGTTGCTCATTTCTTGCAAATATTTGTTTAATTATATCTTCCAAAAATAGTTTCTTACCATCAAGCCGTTTACTAATCTGCTCCTTTGCAATCTTGGCTGGCCAGTACTTTCTCACTGTTTCAGCTACTGAAGTTCTTTCATTTTTCTCCCCAGTATTAGAGCTAATGTTCTTCAAATCCGGACTCTCCAACTGTTCAGTAACACTTTCAATGCTCCTAGTAGAAGTCTGGACTGCCTGTGATTTTTCTTCCATACAATCTTTTGATTCAGACACATCTGGGTCATCAATATTACTCTTCGTTGCATGGTCTAAAAGTGTGACAATCACCGAAGAATCTGGTGGTGAAGTTCTTTCTGGTGAACTGGAGCCTTCTGAAATATTAAGAGGTGTGGGTGGCAACTCTGACAAATGAGCCAGCTCTTTTTGCGTTCGTGGAGGTTTTTCAGTAATTTCTGAAAGCTTTATAGGGTTGCAGCAAAGTTTGGCATATTCACCACCTAACCTATGACACAATTCATTAATTATGACATCACAGTCTCCAAGAAGCTCCACGTCAAAATGCAGATGAGGCAAAGGTTCCCTATTAATTAATATCTGAGGCACTTCATGGGGTATGGAACCTAAAAATAGTGCAAAAAATACAATTTAGAAAAAGAGAGATAAGCTAATAAAGCCATAACAAATGCACTATTGCAAAAATATAACGTTCTCCCAATACCAAAAAATAACTGGCCACTTAACTAAGCCATTGTCATTTCATCAAGCTATCAAGGAAACAGATGAGTAATTAAACATCTTTCATAAAATTTCAGGTTCTGCTTCTGTCACCTGGTTACCTCTTAGCAATCTTTGGATTTTTTTATTCTGTACCTCAATTTCCTTATCTATATAATGGAAATAACAGAACTTTTCTACAAAGTTGCAGTGAGGATTAAATGAGTTAATATATTTCAAGTGCATAGAAAAGTTCTTGGCACATAGCAAGTGATCATTCTTTTTATTGAAATAGCTCCTAATATAAAAAGTGTGAGGACTTCTGGTCAAGATGAGCTTGCCTCTGCCCAGAATCACATCAAAATTACAACTAAATTACTGAGAACCACCTGTTAAGACTAGCTTAACAGAATTCCTATAGGTAAGGATATAAAGAAGCAACACAGACTGACAGGAGGGGCAAACAGAACAGGAAGATCCTAAGCCCAGGAGGGACATCTTGGCTGCTGAGCTGCCTTTGAGAAGCCAGGGATCCCAGCCCCAGATCAGGCTCCACAGCCCATGGCAGCAGTGTCAGAAGAGGAGTCCCCATTAATACCTGGCTGCGAAAATCAGTAGGGATCTGAGAATCACAAAAGCTTTGAGACAAAGGTACTGCCCTTAAAGCAGTGGTCTCCACCAAACTTTCGGACCTCACTGACCATCAGTCCGTGGACCACCAGTTGGCGAAGGCTGTCTTAAAGGACTCGTGCTCTAAGCTCCAGCACAGGCACCAGCTTGAAAAATGCCAGGGACAGTCCTAGCTGGTTTGGCTCAGTGGATAGAGCATAGGCCTGTGGACTGAAAAGTCCCCGGTTCGATTGCAGTCAAGGGCACATGCCCAGATTGCAGGCTCGATCCCCAGTGTGGGGGGCGTGCACAAGGCAGCCCATCAATGATTCTCTCTCATCACTGATGTTTCTATCTCTCCCACTCCCATTCTGAAATCAAAAAATAAAATTAATTAAAAATGCCAGGGACAGGGCAAGAGATAGACAGGGATGGGGTCAACTTTCTCTGGGGATGTAAATACTCCTAGACACCATTGTTCCACTGAACTCACCTACCACCAGCCCAGTGCAGGCAGGTGCCAAATCTGTGCTTTCCTTGAACTTAACACTGTTCACCTGGCCCGGGTGATTCCCTGAGACGCAGCCCCACCCAGCTCCCTTGCCTGGCCAGAGCCTCTCCTACTTGCTTCTCCACACAAACAGCCTGCCTTTGCTGGCACTTCAGACTTTCCCCAAAACTCAGAAACCTCACACAGTGTTGGCTGGACTCTGCTGGTGCTACAGACTCTCAAAGGTCCGCAAACCTCACACAGTGCAGCAGCTGGCCTTGGCATGCACTGACGCTGCTGCCAAGCAGCCCCTAGCCCAGCACAAGTGCGCCCAGGCTCAGCTTGCATTCTAACTCCCATTCAGCAGCTGCACATCTGGCTAAGTGGTGGCGGCCAGTGTTTGTAACACAGCTCTAACTAAGCTACCACAAGCCTGACAAATGGCAGGTGCACTCGTCTCATCATAGTGCCACCAAAGGGTCCCAAGTCTGGCACAACTGGCAGCCAGCCTCGGTTCACAGCAGTGCCTCTCCCAAGCACCTCCACGCCAGCACAAGTAGCAACCAACCATGATCACTCTGTAGATCTACCAAGCTGCCCCAAGACCAGGACAAGCCCCAGCTAACCTTAACCTGCACAGGAGTCCCTTCCAAGAAGCTCCAGACCCAACAACACCTGGTGGACAGCTTCTGACGAGAGCCCCATCCCACTCAGCTCCACAACTGATACACCCACTCGCACCAGAACCATGCTAAAGCAACTCATATTATTGTATTTCAAATATAATTGAAATTAAATTTTAAAAAGTGTGAAAATTCATACAATTCTCCACTATAATATATCTGTGTCTTACATTTTTTAAATGCACCTTTACTGCCTATCTACCAATACTGTCCCCCAGCAGGCTTTTAAGAATGTTTCTGCCTAGCACGGGCCAGGTAGCTCAGTTGGTTAGAGCATCATCCCAATATGCCAAGATTGCGGGCCTGATTCCGGATCAGGGCACATACAAGAATTAACCAGTGGTCCAGTTGGTGTGGCTCAGTGGTTGAGCTCGACTTATGAACTAGGAGGTCACAGTTTGATTCCTGGTCAGGGCACATGCCCAGGTTGTGGGCTGGATCCCCGGTGTGGGGCATGAGGGGGCAGTCAATCAATGATTCTCAACATTGATGTTTCTCTCTCTCTCCCTCCCTTCCTCTCTGAAACCAAAAATATTTTTTTAAAAAAATCAACCAATGGATGCATAAATAAGTGGAACAACCAATCAGTGTTTCTCTCAAGTCAATTCTTTAAAAGAAAGTCTCTGCCTTGCCTTTGAGGGGAAAAAAAAACAAAAATAAAGGCGCTTATTTATACATTAAATTTTCGTGTTTTATTTAATTACAAATTGTCCTATATTCTAGCAATAGGATTTCTCAGTTATGTAGGGAAGACAATCATACTACTAAAAGCAACTACATATAGGGTAGGAAAAGATATAGAATTAGAGTTTAAATCCTTGTTTCTTCCAACTATTTACTCTGGCTGCCTATTTGATTGTTGGTTATAGGGATCTAATTTAATTCTCTGATTAAGAGTTTGATATTCTCTCTTCTCCTTCCTTCATTTTTTAGGGCATACCTGATGCTACTGAGTTAGTATCCCTTTATCTTCCCCCCTCCCTTGCTTCTTCACTAGAGGGAGAAAAAGGTAGTATGAGAGCATGTGTCCCTGACAGTAATAGGGACTTTAATTGTATTTGAGCAAATACACCCTTATGGATAAAGTAAATCCACATATGATTATGACAAGGCATGATTATTATTCATACAAAAACAAGCCAATTCTTTTGACTTCCCAAATTCTAGCTTACATAATGTTATACTTCTATCAAGCTAAAAATTTTAATTTAATTTGAACTGTTTCCCTTTGTCTAAATTGTTTATGTACATTAGAACCTGACATTATTTCTGTTTTTACATCCATCTCATCTCCCCTGCTCACAAGTCAGATTAACATGAACAGAATGTCACCTAAAAAATAAAGTTTGGTTCTTCATCACTCTTTAACCAGAAACAGAGTAAGATCACTAGAGTAGATTGTACTGTACAGACTCATAACCCATGGCAATATATAAGGAAATATTCTCTAAAAATCACCACCAACTTACTTGGAATTAGTGCTACTGGTCTTACTTTCAGGGAAGACCCAATAACAATGAGGAGATCAACTTCATCTTTGTCATACTTCATGGCTCTATGAAATTGTTCTGGTAAATTTTCACCAAAAAAGACAATCTCTGGTTTCATAATAGCAAGTGGTTCATCAGCTGGGCACCTAGGACATCGAGGAACCACCTGCATGTTTCAGATTTTTGGTTGAGGTGGGGAAGAGAAGGGAAAGGCCAACTTAGAAACAGTCAATATTTCCACAGTTGCCAAGAATTCATTTCAAAATCAACAAAGAAAACAGAAAAGTTGTGGATAAATAGGGAAATTGGGTACAACCTAAACATCAATGTCAATTGTCACAATTTAACATAAACTGAAATACAATGTTGCTATTATCTGTGTATACTATTATACATCTGTAAAAACCTACATTTGATATTCAAGGGTTTATTGTACAGTAAAAGAAAAAACCAGCATGTGTATATATGTATGTACACACACACATACACAACCCACACACACAGATTTAATCCTTTTAAAAAGAATAAGTTTCGTCCGACCAGCGTATTTCATAGGTGACTGAGCGTCGACCTATGAATCAGAAGGTCAGAGTTTGATTCCTGGCCAGGGCATATGCCTGGGTTGCGGGCTCGATCCCCAGTATGGGGCGTGCAGAAGGCCGCCAATCAATGAAGCTCTCTCATCATTAATGTTTCTATCTCTTCCTCTCCCTTCTCTGAAATCAATAAAAACAAAATAAAATAAACAAGAGTAAGTTTGTAGGATACAATGATTCTGCCCTGGCCATGCAGCTAGTTGGTTAAAGAGTCGCCCTCATAAGCCTCGGTTGGTTACAAGTTCAATCCCCAGTTAGGGCACATACAAGAATGAACCAATGAATGCATAAATAAGTGGAACACAAATCTATTTTTCTCTCTCTCTCAAAATCAGTAAGTAAAAAAGATACAGCCATAGCTGGTTTAGCTCAGTGGATAGAGCGTTGGCTTGTGAATGAAGGATCCCAAGTTCGAGTCCTATCAAGGGCACGTGCTTGAGTTGTGGGCTCGATCCCCAGTGGAGGGGCGTGCAGGAAGCAGCCAATCAATGATGCTCTCTCATGGTTGATGTTTCTGTCTCTCCCTCTCCCTTCCTCTCTAAAATCAATAAAAATATATTTGAGTATCATTTAAAAAATAAAAACAAAAAAGATACAATGATTCCATTTTAATATACTATCCTCCTAAATATATATGCTTATATATGTAGGTAAATGAATAGAATTTTTATTTCTGGATGGTTTTTATTCTTTGCCATATTTGCTTGTAGTATTTTGGCAGTGAGCATATATGAAATACCTTTTACAATAAATTTTTTAATGTTTAAAGAATTACCACCTTAATTTAAAATTCTGAGTCTGATAGGCACTATAAAGGGAGAGTAAGAAGAAAAACTAATATGGCAACACCTCACTTATGATCTGGATTTTTATTTTAGTCTTTGATATTAAGGAGCCAATTTCATCACTTTAGACATCATGGACCAATGTTTTCAACTTAAGGTACTGAATGGTTCTTGTGTATTTCACCAGAATTCCCAATGCTAATACTCTCTTCCTAGATCTTTTTGTACCACACAAATACTTTCAGGGGGAAAAAACAAGAACGGTTTGGGAGCCAAAACCGGTTTGGCTCAGTGGATAGAGCGTCGGCCTGCGGACTGAAAGGTCCCGGGTTCGATTCCGGTCAAGGGCATGTACCTGGGTTGCGGGCACATCCCCAGTAGGAGATGTGCAGGAGGCAGCTGATCGATGTCTCTCTCTCATCGATGTTTCTAACTATCTCTCTCCCTTCCTTTCTGTAAAAAATCAATAAAATATATTTTAAAAAAAAAACAGTTTGGGAGACAAAAGAAGAAACAGATTAGGCCAGTGTGTCTCAATGGTTGTCAGGACATATGCCCGGGTTGTGGGCTCCAACTCTGGTAGGGGACGTGCAGGAGGCAGCCTATCAATGATATTTTCATCATTGATGTTTCTATCTCTCTCCATTTCTCTGTGAAATCAATAAAATTTAAAAAAAAAAAAGATCAGAAACATGCACAATTCCTAAAATACGGGTGATAAATTACCTGATTAAAAATATCTCCTCGTACAGCTTCACAGTCAACTTTGTATTTACAAATCAGGCAAGATGCTGTTGCAAATGAACCTAAAAAATACAACATGCATGTTTTAGTAATGAAATGTTTCCATTTATTAAGCATACTACAAAGGTTAATATGTTAAAATTTTAAAAGATTCCATGGGAGAATCTAGGGTATAATTAAAATACTTATACAGTAAGTAAGGAGAGAATCCAATCCTCATTGCTGAGATGTTGATACAATGATGACTCCCCTAAAGCTACTCTTTTCAATACAATAAACCAACTCTTCCAGGGCTAAAATGCTACAGAGTTGGAAGATTACAACTGTACAGTATTACTTTAGCCTAACAGTTGTTTTAAAAACAATTCAGATACATAATGTTCTGTTCATACTTGTTATACTAGATGGAAATTTCTAAATACTTTTCATCAGAACTACCCAGTTCCTTTGGTTTCATAATCTAAAGATGTCTTTTCATACTTAGCTATATTACATTTGCAATTTTAAAAAGGTTACTTAAAAGAATGTAATGGAATGCAACTGCTACATATTCTAAAATCCAAAAGCACACTGATTTCTCATGTTTTGTGTGTCAAGGCCAATCCTTCCAGTTTCATGGGTTTTTTGCATTCCACTTTTCTTATTTTATCTACAACTGGTCAGAGAGCATGAGTAAATAATAAAGCTCTATCTCCATTCCTGGATGGCAACCTACTTTCTAATCCTAATTTTTCCTAGGAGTAACAAAACTAAATAACAGAAAGGAATTCTGAAGTTTACTAACCATGACACTGAATTATCCTTTGGATTCCTGCAACCTGTTCCAGTGTATCTATGTTCTGAGTATAGTTGCGAAGTAGTTTTCCTTCCTTATCCGACAATGCTATGAATTTGTGACAGAGAGATGGCTGGAATTGTCCAGGATATATTTCCTATATAAGGCAAAAGGCAGAAAAAACATTACATTTAAGAAATAAGTATAACAGATATCACACATTTAGGTTTAATAACAAAAAAACTACCAATGTTAATGCCCCATGTATAAGTAATTTAAAAACTACATGAGCATCTCAAAGCATCTAGATGGGTACAACACACACCTACAAAAGGATTGTTGCTGTTATATGTATAAAACTCAGCAATTAGTGAAGTTGGCCCCTTGAAAAGGATAAAGATGACCCATAAACATCTCTAATAAATGTTAACAGATATTTTAATAAAAGTCAGAAGAAATACACACCTTAGAACATATCTAACTTTTGTTGGCTGCAAATTCAGTTGTTGTTTTAAAGCAAAAGGGGGAATAGTTTAAATTGAAATTAAAGATATCAAAGGTATGGTGACTTCTTTTTTAAAAACATAAGAATATTAAAATTTTCTTATTCATCATTCATCATAAATATAAACCTGTTGGAAGTTTAAAGCTAAAGTTTTAATTCCTTACCAAAATTGTTTTCCTTCCACTGCACAGGCACATACTGGTATAGTATAGAGTTGCTCATGAATGCTGAGTTGCTGGATTTTGTGTGTGTGTTTTTCCCCCCAAATAATGCTTCAATGCTGTTTCTTCTTTAAAAACAAAGAATTCAGATATACACATGGCAAAAAGATCAGAGAAAAATTATCAATTTTGGTCCTCTCAACTTTTGACAGTGTTTATATTTCATTTAGTAAGTGACTATGGCAAAGGAAGTTTCTTCATTAAAGTAGTAGTGCTACCTTCTACTTCCTTACCATTCATTACAGCCTCTAACCTATTACAATGGTAGCAAAAAACTAGACACAACCATATGTCCATCAATAGGGGACCGGTTGTAGATATGTGGTACCATCCATAATAGTGGAGTATGCAGCCATTAAAATTAATAGGTTTAGATGCACTGACCTGGAAGATGGTTCATGACATACATGAAAAAAGCAAGTTAGTCACTGGTGTGTTTTGTTTTTATTGTTTTGTTATTAAGCAAAAATGGAAATAATATGCACATGCATATAGATATGTTCATAAAAACAAGTCAGGAAGGATTCAAACAAACTATAAACAGATGGGGAACTTTCACTTCTGATATTATACAAAAATGTTGAATAAGATTATAAATGACTACTTTTAACCTATTTAATATTTCAATTTTTTTAAAAAAACTATCTACAGGTATATCTTTTGGGTAAAATTAATAAGTAAAATCTCCTTATAACTGTCACATACAGGTCCATATGCTGCTGAAAATGGTATACAAAAATCCAAAATTTTCCTCACATTCAAATTTTTGTCATGAATTTCATGGACAACTTTGCAATTTACAAAATAGACAACGCACATATAGGAAGAAGTAACAAGTGAAGAGCTTAATAAAGCTAATGTTTATAAAAAATTTAAAGCAACATTGCGTTCTAGACCAGTGGGTTGTGCTATACTAACCACTGTTTTAGCTACAAGATGCTTTGTTCTAGTACATTCATATTTACATGTAGAGGCTTAAACATAATTGTATTTTATTAAAGCTCCCTCTGTAAATAGCTGGTAGAGTGTTTTAACAAATATTAGAATATGCTAGGCAACAAATAAAATAACATCTAAAGTAGGAAGAAAAGTGATAACAGCATGCCAAACAAAATAAGAACAAATGACCTCCAGAGCAGGGTCAGGGAGTAAGAGTGCCAAGACTCCAAGGCTCCTGAAATGAGTTTTATGTGCCTTATCTTCCACCCACTCTCTTAAAGGGGAGGATAAGAAGCACAAAGATATGCAGACACTAGCTTCAGCTCTACACTCCGATTTCCCTTCATGTTCAAACCATAACAGTTCAAGGTAGTTTAGCCCTTAAAGTTAAAAATCAATTTCTGTAGTTGGGAATCATTTATGAAGCTCTTTTTTATAAGATTAAATTTTATGTGCTACGATTTGAAACTAACTTTGTCTGTTTTCTTTCAAATATGTAGTGGACCATGTCTGAACACCCTCAAGTCCTATCAAGGAACCGATCATGTGGACTGGGCCAATCTGTTAGTGCCATAGGGATCCTCACAAGTGAGAGAAAGCAGAGCTGGGACCAAAAGCTCAAAGCACATTTTTAAAAAAGACCTGTTGCTTCCATACACCTGTGTTTACAAATATGCAAACACTTCAGTAATTGTCCAAAGGCAACCAATAGGGTCCAAATTAAAGCTTAGAACTACCTGCCATATTGAGGTTTCATGCAGAAATAATGGCTCTCCTCCAAAAATGATCTCTACTTGATTTCATCTAAAAATTTCTAGCAATATGAGTGAGACCCCAGTCAAAGGCAAGGATGTTAACGGCAACCCCTCAAAAATAAAAGGACTCATCAAAGTCCTTTGAGATGCACTATTGGCTAATATCCACCTCCTCCTACAGAGCAGAGGGAGACAGTTAAGTACAGTTGGTAATAAATAGAACCTAAAATCTCTTGCTGAAAAAAAAAACACCACACACAAGAAACAACAAAACACACACATCGGTCCTGGTTAGAAAAATCTTCATAATCGCTTGTTTCATTCATTCCACAAAACCACACTTGATAGACTACTCAATATCTTACCTAATCAGCACTTACACATTATTAGTCATCTGACAAATTCAACTGCCTTTTCTAAAAATCTGGTTCCCTGAGGAACTCAAGGTTCAGCAAACTTTTTCCAAACAAGGACAACAATTAGTAAATATTTAAGGTTTCCATATGGTCTCTGTTGCAACCACTCAATCTTCCAATATAGTGCAAAAGCACCTTAGACAATATGCAAATGAATGAGCACAGCTGTATTCCAATAAAACTTTATTTACAGTCACCAACATTAGAATTTTCATGTTCATATGCCATGAAAAACTATTCATTTTCCCCTCCCATTTAAAAACTCTTAGCTCAAGGGCTCCATAGAAACAGGCAATGGGCTACATTTGGACTGAGGATATAGTTTGCCAATTCCTGTACTAACCTAACACAAGAGCATTTCAGTTAGTCAAGCTATCAGTTACCATTTAATGAAGTTTTAGTATGTACTAGACATAACAGGAGCAATTTATTATAATGCTATAAACTAGGCTGAGGACTGAGTTTTTACATTTTAAAAGGTTGTACAGAAAAACAAAGAACATTTAATAAAGCTCCTATGGTGTCCACAAAGCAGACATTTACTACCTGATCCTATAAAGAAAAGATTTGTTGACCATACTGTAGGGTATATATCCCCACTGGCAGATAAAAAAACCAAAGCACAGAAGTCACTTGTCGAAAGTCACAAGAACCAGTAAGTAGCAGAGCTATCATTCAAATCCAGTTCTGATACCAAAGTGTGGCTCTTAACCACTATGCAATAATAACTTTTCTTTTTTTTCATTTAAATTCTTTGTTGTTGCAAGTATTAATGTCTAATAGTACCTTTTCAATGTTTGATCCCTGTACCTCGTTTCATACTCTTTTTTTAGGCTAAGCATCATTTCTGTTAGGTACTGCTAACTAGTCTAAATCTAAGATCAGTCTAGTAAGTACAGTTCATTTTGCACATCTGCATGGGATTACTGAAGGCTGGAATTCCAATCACCTTATAACATAAAAACATTCTTCGAGAATACATAATGTTCCCAAAAATCAGTAAAAGAAAAACATCCCACTGGAAAAAAATGCCTAAGATCAATAAATGATTCAAGGATATACACATGGCCAGTTGTAGAAAGCAATCATTCATTCACACTAATAAACTAAAACAGAACACTGATGAGAAAAAAATGCCCATTTTTTCTATTCAACTGATAGTTTTAACTTCCTGAAAAACTTGAGATGTACATTAATAGAAGATTGATTAAATATATTGTGGTACAACTATAAAATACAGGCCTTTTCTTAAAAATAAGTTATTTCTGTTAAGTGCCATTCTGAAACTATTTCTAAAAGTATTATGTGTATGGGGAGGGGGGGCGGAAGCAAGGTTAGAGAAATGGGTGTATAATTGTTAGTAATCATTTTCAAAGTATTACTAGAAACTTAAAATAATACTCCTCCCATACACACACACACATACTCTCTCTTACTCATTTCTTTTTTTCCTGGAAGGCCCAAGAAAATACAGTAACCTTTGAAGAAAGAGATTGAAGATAGGGAAACTAAAGGGGGGCCAACTAATGTTTACATACTGTACTGTTTGTATTTCTTTGTAAATCATATTCACCACACACACACACACACACACACACACACTTTATTTAAAAAAGTATTTTAATGCCAATAATATACTACAGCCGAACCGGTTTGGCTCAGTGGATAGAGCGTCGGCCTGCAGACTCAAGGGTCCCGAGTTCGATTCCGGTCAAGGGCATGTACCCTGCTTCCGGGCACATCCCCAGTGTGGGGTGTGCAGGAGGCAGCTGATTGATCTCTCTCATTGATGTTTCTAACTCTCTATCCCTCTCCCTTCTTCTCTGTAAAAAATCAATAAAATATATTTTTAAAAAATAATAATATACTGCAGAGAATTTGAGGGAGTGGACAGGGGCATGTTAAATCAGCCTTCTCATGCACTTCTTCTGACGGGAACATATATTATTCAACCTTCACAGATAGCAATACAGCAAAATGTATCAGGAGCCTTGGCAATTTCCTTTTTAGGAGTTTATCCTAAGAACATTGGAAACACACCAAAAAGGATAATCAAAGCAACCCTACTTGTGATAACAGAAAGTAGAGAACATTCAAACATACAGTTGCAGGATTAGTTCACTACATTACTTGATGAACATTATGATGACTATAAAGTATTCAAGTGTCTGACACAAAAAATTTATTAAGTAGGAAATGCTACAAATACAAATCAGTAGGAAAAAGAGCCCATTTTTATAATAAAAATATAATATATACCTAGCTATAATACTTTATGCCTATATTTATAAATCTGTAATCCATATACACGTAAGTATTAA